AATTTCCAAATAGTGAGGTAGCCCTTTAGGTATTGCTCCAAGGGCTCCAATTAGAATTGGGACAACAGACAATTTCTTTTTCCACAGTCGTTCAACTTCAATTTGCAAGTCCCGGAACTTATTATTATTTTTCTGTTTCTTTGTATGTGCACTGACCTTCTGCATCCAAGACGAATTTCTTGTGGGTTTAATCAAACTTGGCCAAATAAAATATTCAATTGCAATTTAATTCAAATAAGATATGAATTAATAAATATATGTTTTAGTATTTTTGTGAGAAGATTATGATTTTCTATTTCAGAATAACCAACATTCTACAAAATAATTTATTCTTCGGGTTGTTTTGCCTTCAGCAGGCAACTGCTTGCCATTTTCTAAAATAAGGCTCTGTTACTTTATGTGCATCGTAGCTAAAAATTCTGATTTTAGCACAGTTTTATGCTAGATATGGCTTGAAATGCCTATCCCATTAAAACTGAGCCACCTAAGAATATTTAGACTTCTGAATTCTCAGAAATTTTCATTAAGCAAGATATTGCAGAAACGGCAACAGGAAGAAATAATGAAGTAAGAAAAAAAGTCATAATGCGTTTCTCATTTTGTCAGAGAAGAGTTCTGGAGAACAGAAAAGCTTGTGTCGTGTGTTTGTTGGTGATGCCTATTTTAGCACATGAAAACCTCATGGGGAATTGCCCAAGTGGAATATGTATGTTTGTATTCCAGTCTTTAATTCTGCAAATTTGATTCTGTAATAGCAAGCCGCGGGGTGCGTCTATTAATTTACTTTGAGTAAATCTTTGGAATTAATTTGGCTAATTTTCTTGCTTGACTTTGAATTCAAAGAAATGTTTTTAGAGATCAACTTTCCTTCCTCCTAAAAAGCTTGCAAACTCCACTGAACTTAGGGGATCTATGTCTAAATAAACATATGTAGAACGGCCCTGTGAATCTGGATTTAACCTAAACGTCTGGATTTTTAAAACCAAGTTGGATTGAACGCAAAGACTTATTTTGCTTAAAGTAAACATCAAAGGCAATTTACTCATTTGCAGGATTGCCAAGCTTTATATATATGTAAACATAGTGCTTCCTTTCTCCCACTTCTTTAAAGGAGAATGATAATGATGATGAGAAATTTCCTACAACATCTCCAGGGTTTTATGTCAGGTTTTTTTTTCCTTGCTAATGATTATGAGTGATTCCAGTCTATTTTCATATTCCTTTAGGTCAATTTCGTTGCTTGTCAGCTTTGTGCACTCTTGGCTGCATTTTGGTTTCGCTTGTACTTAAAGCCTAGTCAAGCCAACTCCAGCGTTCGTCATGCATTTGCCACAATTTTGGGAATATATTTTGCCCTCTTCTGCTTTGGTTGGTGAGTCATTCCTGCCTAACTTTCTATTCACTGTGACTATGAATTGAGTAGCTTGGGTATGCTGGGAATTGTAAAACCTTCCGTTGGGCAACCATAACATTATGAAAACAAAACGCCAAAGCTCTTTTATCAGCAGGTACATTTTCCAAGAAAGAAGCATGTATTCAGTCTGTGATTTAAGAGGAAGAGAGGAAGAGCAAAGGAGTTTACTTCAAAAAAAAAAAGTGAACACTGATTCGGACTGGATTCTTTCTTTCTACATAACTTTTAGTTAATTTTAGGGTGGTGTGTGGCTCAGCAGTTAAGATGCTGGGTTTCTTGGCTGGAAAGATGGCAGCCGAGGTTTGAGACCCGAGTACAACATGAGTACCACTTGTGTTCCTGCCCATCTAGCAGTTGAAAGCATGCAAATGTGAGTAGATAGGTATCACTTCGGTGAGAAGGTTAAAGTGCTCCATGATGTCATGCTGGCCACATGACCATGTAAATATCTTCAGACAGTGCTGGCTGAATGGTCTTGAACCAGAGATGAGCACCACCCCCAGACCCTACAATGAGTAAAAATCCGCAGGGACACCTTCATTTTTAGTTAATTCAGAAAAGTATTGTTGTCTGTTAGCTATTACTGACTTTTGGAAAATGGAATTTCTTCTTCTTCTTCTCTTCCAAGGTACTCCATCCATATTTTTACTTTAGTGATGATAAGTTATTTCATCATGAACATGGCCAGTATTTCCAACATTCATAGGTAAGTTTGTAGGTCTATCGTAAGTGTTAAAAACGGAAATATTTTTGAACGTTGATGTTCCTTTATGTTCCTTTACTGATCTGATTAATGGTTGCTTATGATCTTGTGTTCTTGTCTTGTGGTACTTCTTATTTCAGCCACTTTAAGGCATTGTGGAGTACTGATTAAATGCACTTATTACAAAGAGCAAGGAAGATTACCCGATGGAGATGTACAAAACCCAATGCCAGAGTGATGGGTTGAAATGCTGCATATTTTTACTTATTTATTAAATATACCTGTGTCACACATCTCCCCTATAAGGTGATTGTTTAAGTCTACAACAAGCAGAAAATACTCTGAAATGGCTCAGAGAGACACCTTCCTAATTCACGGAAGTGTAAGAAGGAGGAGGTATAACACAATCACATTCATAAGATTGATAGCAGCCCCATCAAATAGACCAAATCAAGGCGTCAATTCCACAGGATGGCTAAAACTATTGTTTATTGAGACTGGTTATATTTTAGCTATAGTTTCTAAACCCACAGATCAGTGGTGGGATTAAAATTTTTTTTACTACCAGTTCTGTGGGCTTGGCTTGGTGGGTGTGGTGGCTTGGTGAGTGTGCCAGGGGAAGGTTACTGCAAAATCCCCATTTCCTCCCGATCAGCTTGGATTCGGGAGGCAGAGAATGGATGGGGCGGGGCCAGTCAGAGGTGGTATTTATNTGAGTCAACCCTGAGCCGGTGAGATTTGAACCGCTGAACTGCTGATCTAGCAGTAGCCTGCAGTGCTGCATTTAACCACTGCGCCACCTTGGCTCAGACAACCTCATGGATGAATTATTTATGTGGTCTCTCTTGACTGCACAAATTGTTTTATTCATGAAATAATCAATCTCCAAATGTCATTGTAGGAGGATTTTCACTCTTGACATTGTCCTCCAAACAATTGTGTCTTGTAAATTTATTATATGTTTCACCAGTTTTTCTTTCTCAGACTTTTGAACTATGTTTAAAATAAAACTGCCATTTATTTAAACATGTAATATTTGCTGCTTACCCCCCCCCCCAAAAAAAAATTTGAAATATACACATTGATTGTTTTGACAGGACAAGACCTTCCCTATTAGAGTATTTGAGTTATCAGCTCAACTTCATGAGTATTATTGCTGGCCCATGCAGCAATTTTAAGGATTATATAGATTTCATCGAAGGGAGACACGTGCAGATGAAGTTATTGAAGTCCGGTTGGAAACAGAGGAGTTGCGATAGTTTTCCTGATCCTTCTCCAGTGGTAAGCCACAAAATGCTAAGCTTTTATTCTGAAACGCAGAAATGGTTTTTGACAATAAACAGTATCTGTTATGATGAAAATATAAAAAGAGGTTTCCTGGTTTAGAAGAAAAACCTTCACGTCCTGCACTCTGTACCTCTAGTAGGGAGACAAGAAACCTATGAGAAGCTCACAAGGAGGACTTGATTATGTTTATATATGTGCTCCCCAGATGTGGCTGTTAAGAAGCAGTGCTGCTATCTCCACATCTGGAGATCATATAATTTTTAATAGTAATAATCCAGAAGAAAATACCTCCCCCCCCAATATTAGGAAGTATAGACAATGAATCATACTTTTAGTAGGTCAATTCTTAAAACACAGGTTTTTTTTTAAGGCTATATTCTCTCAGATGTAATCACACCAATAATTTATTCTGTTTTCCTTTGTAGGGAGCCATCCTACAGAAACTTGCTATCACGCTTCTATCTATGGTAGTGTTTTTGACGCTTACCAAGACCTTCCCAGCCACTTACATTGTTGACGATCAATTTATGAATCAATCTTCATTCTTGACGAGGCTTGGTTTTCTATATGTTGTCATGCAAGCCTCAAAGCCCAAATACTACTTCGCTTGGACACTTGGTAAGATTCGTTTTAAGATGGTTTTTCAGACCACAATTGAACCCCAAATTCTCTGTTACTAAGTGAGACACTTGTTAAGTGAATTTTGTCCCATTTCTTTACCTCCCTTGTTATAGTTGTTAAGTGAATCCCTGCAGGTGTTAAGTTAGTAACGTGGCTGTTAAGTGAATCTGGATACTTCATTGACTTTGTTTGTCAGAAGGTCACAAAAGGGGATCACAAAACAACACTGCAACCATCATAATTTTGAGTCAGTTGCCAAGCATTTGAATTTTGATCATGTGACCATCGGAATGTTGCAACGCTCATAAGTGTGAAAAATGGTCATAAGTCACTTTTTCAGTGCCCTTGTAACTTTGAACGATCACTAAATGAACTGTTGTAACTTGAGGACTACCCGTACTTGATGTAGATGTTTCCATTTTATCCATTAAGGCGCAAATGTGATACAGTTGGCATTAAGCACATTATTTCTGATTAAAATTTATGACTTTTCTAATGAGAAATGCACATCTATTTACCGGTCCGAATAAGTGTCAGAGGATATCAGACAAGCTAAAATTCATACCTGCGTTAAATATCTGATAATATTTTTTATTTAGAATTACTTATTTTGTGTTGAACATGCCCTCACAGTTCTATGACAGTTTTTAATGTGATGTTAAACACACAGTCCAGGACATTAACAGTTTTTCAGTTCATTGTATTAATAAATATAGCAACACCCATAAATATAGCAACACTAAAATTAAGTTTTAGTATCTTCTTTATATCTTGGATCATCTCCCACTTATTGTGATTGTACTTGTTATAGGAAATGAAATCTTTGGGGCTCACGTTCATCAGGTTAGCAAAGGCAGGTCTAAATTTTCCAGGACCAGGACACTTTAGGCAAAGTAGACCCCATATCCTACCATATCCTTGTAGTGGGAGCCCGCACGCTTGCTTCAACTGTGCGCAGCACGTCTGGGCAATATGCAGAGGATCGTAATTCTAATGCTAACCGATTCTCGCTCAGGATTGAAGTCATCCAGAGAGCCTAATTTTAGGAATGAAATTATCTGATTTTGGGGCATCCATAGCTGCATGTTAGAAAGTGGTTCCCTTTGCTTTCTTCACCAAATGTGAGTTGGGCTGAGAAAAGGCTGCTTCTACACACAAGTGCTGGAAAGTGAAGCGCCTTTTAGAGAATGCTTGCACCCCTAAGTATTTTAATGATATGGTTTACTTCCCTTTCCTGGATACCTTTTGAAAGAAAGAGAAGTGCCTTCTGCCTGCTTCTTCCCTCATCCCCTTTCCCAAAATAGTGTTTCTGAGAAGATCAGATAGACATTTCAAGGGGGAAAAAAGATTCCTGTCCTATCACCATATCACAAATTACTTCTGCTTAAAATATAGCTGTAGTGTAAGAAGCGTTTGAATTTTTGCAAGTCCCAAAGTTAAGCAGCCATTGTACTTTGCTGGCTTCAAGCTCAGCTGGCTTAAAGTTCAGTGGATATTTTAAGGCTTAAAAACAATCCATACAGAAACAGGATGGAACAGGAATACTGGATCAAGTCATGCTCTGTGAAGGGTACAAACCATCTTCTAAATCATATTATGGTTTAGTTTTGGCATAGTGCATTGAGAAAAGCCAATAAATTGTGACTTACGCAATTATACAGTATGTAGACAGTTCATGATGAGAGTTTGAGGCAAAGATGAGTCACCTACTGACTCAGGTCCTAAAATGTCCAGAGTATGATGTTCCCAAATAAAAGCTAGAACTGACTCCTTTTTTTATTTTGGAGGATAAACAAAGCTTGTGTTTTCACTTCATAATATTCCTTGAAGGTGGTAGCAATCATATTGTGAATGTCCTGCACAGATCAACCTCCATAGCAAAGGATTTTCCCTTAATCAACAAATTGGTAATGCACATAAAAATTAAAATGCATCAGTAGAAGAATGCAAAAGGATACATTAGATAATTTGAATTAGTAATGGTATCCTATTATCTTCACTACCAGTTTGGTAGCGGGAGCCCGCACGCTCGCTTCAATCACACACAGCACATCTGGGCATGCGCAGAAGGTCTGTGATGACGTGTGGGTGGGCGGAGCTTCATACCGCCACCACTACGGTTCGCCCAAACCAGTGCAAACCAGCAAAATACCACCTCTGGTTTGAATGTTGTTCCTCTGTTGTTAGAAACAAAATGTAGAATTGAGTTTGTGGAGCAATTGGGATAGTAAATACCTTTCTGTATTGGGAAAGGAGAAAAGCAAAGTGCTTTTTTATATCAGTAAATCCTAAAGTTTTATCGTTTTTCTTAACAGAGTAGCAATAATTACCCCTTTTTCTCAACACAGTTTATCTACAGAATGTAATATTTTGTCAATCAAATAAAACTGCTGTTATTCTTGCTTATAAATAGCCTCCTTTTTATATGGAAAACGGTATGGATTTGCTATTGGAGAATGTTTAATGAAAGATCATTCTGTTCTAATGTTAATTGAAAAAAATATATATGTAGAAGTCAAATAAAAAAAGTGTTTAAAATTCCAAAGCTGTTTTTTAAAAAAAGTTAAAATATTGTTTTCGGAGTATTAGTTTTGGTCCACAATTACATATTCCAAAATGTTACTTTAAAAATAGATTGATTTAATTTGATTTGATAATTCTGAACATAAACAAACTGAATTGGAATTCTAAATAAAATGCTGTTACATTCATTGAGAAACAGTTGTTCTGTTAATTTATACAGTATATTTACATACATTTGGCTTCTGCTTCCTTGAATTTGTTTTCTAAATCAGGCCTGCTTCCAAAAACCAATTATGCCTTTCATATATACAAAGGAAAATTAACCAGGGGTGGGATCCTACCAGTTTAACAACTGGTTCGCTGAGTGCACACATGCGCCAGGACGCGCACACGGTTTAGAGAATACTTACCTTCTGGATTGCTGCTTGGGAAGGAAAATAACTGAGGCGTGGCAATCCACTCTGCCACGCGACTCAGCTGAGAAGATAAAGGTAGGTAAAGTGCAGGGGCGGGCGGGCACTTGTGAGAGCAAACCGGTTCGCTCCCAGCTGATCTTAGGAGCTACAGATTTGCCGAGCCGGTCCGAACTGGTCGAATCCCACCCCTGAATTTAACTTATCGTTTCTAAAACAATTATTTTATATCTTCCCTAGTAATAATTCCCTATAACGTGGAAATTGAAAAATAGCATGACCCGACAAATGCGCGCCCGACAAATGCGTGCCGACAAAACCGCCACAAGAAAATGGCGAAGTCAAAAGCGCGCCCACTAAAGCGCGCCGACAAAACCGCCACAAGAAAATGGCGAAGTCAAAAGCGCGCCCACTAAAGCGCGCCGACAAAACCGCACCCAGAAAATGGCGAA